AATCACCCTAAACAAAGAATAATAGTATTGCTGTATTTCACATCGTGATGCTATGGAATCAGCACTGGGTACCTTAGTGTCTCTTATTCTTCAGAATAGCTGTTCATTTCATCGTGCATTATATAATCGATTCTCATAAACTGTTCAGAAGTTCTATGCATACACGATCTACATGTATACCTATTCTTTCTGTATTAGAGGGAAAAACAAAACAAGACAAAACAAATTCCTAGAAAAACAGGAAATGAAAAAGACATATACACAACAATAGCAAAGAGCCCAGAACACTGACAATATAGGCCTTCAAAACAAGGTGGTATGAGCATAATTAAGGTTTTTATTTTAAGTAATGATCTGCAAGAGTTCTTAAGATCACCATATAATAATATGCACAATTGTTCCAATCCTGTGCATGTTAACTGTTTTGTTCCAAGAACTTACTGAATTTGTAGCACAATCATCTTAACTATACTGTGTGTTTAATATAATTTTATGTTTTTTTCTTTTCTATTCCTTTTTCTTTTCCCTCATTTTCTCTGTGATATTATTTTTCCCCTTTAAGTAGATTCTTGTCCTTTCACTGTGTTTATTGAGTTTTTTGTAATATTATGTACTTTTACCAATTCTTACACTAGGGAGACTATATGGCATTTACACATGTGAGTTTGATTTATTTCACATATGAGTATATTCTCAAATTGTATCCATTTACTTATGAATATCTCAATATGATTATTTTTAATAGCAGAGTAGTACTCCATTATATAAAAATACCACATCTTCTTTATCCATTCCTCAGTTGATGGGCAGGTAAGTTGTTTCCAAGATTTGGCTATTACAAATTGTGCTGCTATGAACATGCAAATATATCACTGTGGTATGATGCTTTCAGTTCTTCTGGGAATATGCCAAGAAGTGGAAGAGGTGTGTCAAAGGGACCTCCAGTCCCAGCTTTTTGAAGTATCTCCAGACTGACCTCTACAGTGATTGCACCAGTCTAACTCCCCCAACAATGTAAAAAAGTTTATTTTTCCCCACAGCCTCTCCAGCATTTGCTGTTGGTAGTTTTCTTTATCCTGGCCATTGTTTCTGGGGTGAGATGGAACCTCAGTGCTGTTTTAATTTGCATTTCTCTAATGATCAGTGATGCTGAACAATTTTCAAGTATTTATTAGCTATTTGTATTTCTTATTGAGAACTGTGTATTCATGTCAGATGCCCATTTTTGGAATGAGTCTTTGAATTTTGGGTGTCTTATTTTTAAAAATTCTTTGTATATTCGAGACAGAAGTCCTTTGTCAGAAGGACTGTGCACTATGATTTTTCCCAATTTTTGACTTTTCTTTTTACTATTCAGGATATTTATTTTGACATGCAAAAGCTGGACACAATCTAGTTGTAGATTCTGTGAAGTATTTCGTCTGCAGTTTGATTCTTGTTCATGAATTCTCTACTTACCCCTATGTCTTTAAGAGTTCTACCTACTTTGTCTTCGAACAAATTTAGTGTTTCTGTTTTAATATTTAGATCTTTGATCCATATAGACTTCAGTTTAGTACATGGTGATAGACATTGGTCTCGTTTTAGTTTTTGGCATATGGAGAGCCAATTTTTCTAGTAACATTTTTTGAAGAGACTATCTTCCAGTGAAACATGTTTGGCCCCTTTATCAAAGATCAGGTGGCTGAGTGTATTTCTAATTGTAGTTGTGTCTCCTAACATATTCCATTGATCTTCAGGTCTGTTTTTATTCCAGTACCATGCTAATTTTATTACAGTAGCATTGTAGTATAACTTCAGGTCAGGCATAGATGCCTCCTTCCTTGCCTTTGTTGCTTAGAATTGCCTCTGCTATTTTGGATCACTTCTGGTTCCAGATGAATTTTAGGAGTCATTTCTCTAGATCTGTGAGATATGCTAGTGGCATCTTAATTGGGATTGCATTAAATCTGTATGACAATTTTGGGAGAAAGGCCATTTTCACAATGTTTGTTTTTCCTCTCCATGAACAAAGGATGTCTTTCCATTTTTGGAGGTCTTCTTCGATTTCTTTTTAAGGGTATTATAATGTTCCCTGAATAGATCTTTTGATTGATTCCTAAGTATTTCATTTATTTGGATGCTGTTATGAAGGGTGTGGCTTCTCTTATTTCTCTCTCAATGATTTTGTTGTTAGTGTATAGGAATGTTATTGATTTTTGAGTGTTGACTTTGTATCCAGCTACATTACTGAATTTGTTTATTATACCTAGGAGTCTTTTAATGGAGTGGTTTTCTAGGTAGAGTATCATGTCATCTGCAAATAATGATAATTTAACTTCTTGTTTTACTTTCCTTACTCCTGTTATTTCTCTCTCTTGTCTAACTGCTTTGGCTAGTATTTCCAGCACTGTATTACAGAGTGGTGATAACGGACATCCTTGTCTTGTTCTTGATTTTAGGGTAAAGGCTTTCAGTTTTTGGCCATTTAATATGATGCTGGCTGTTGGCTTGTCATAGATGGCTTCTATCACAATGAGGTAAAGACCATATATTCCAATTTTCTCTAAGACTGTTACATGGATAAATGTTGGACCTTATCAAAATATTTTCTGCATATATAGAAATGATCATGTGGTTCTTATTTTTGACTCTATTGATATGGTGGATTACATTTATTGATTTGTGTATGTTGAGCCATCCTTGCATTCCTGTGATGAATCCCACTTGGTAATGATGTATGATCTTCTTGATGATTTGCTGCATTCTGTTTGCCAAAACTTTATTGAGAATTTTTACACCTATGTTCTTTAGGGAGATTGGCTTATATTTATCTTTTTTAGTTGGGTCTTTCTCAGTTTTTGGTATTAGAATAATGTTTGCTTCCAGGAGTGTCTTAGGGAGAATCGTTTCCCTTTCAATTTCATTGAAGAGTTTGAGGAGTGTTGGCATTAAATCTTTGAATTTCTTGCAGAATTCTGTAGTGAATCCATCTGGACCTGGGCTTTACTTTGCTGGTAAAGATTTAATTGCAAATTTTTAAAATTTTTCCCCTTAATTAAAACAAACATAAGAAAATCCAAAATGTGTAAATTTTGTTGTAAAAAAGAGAGGGGAAAAAAAGAGCTCTAATGGATATAACAGCAAGTGTGTTTAGGGGTGTTAAATAGCTGACTATGTTAATGTTTTTGGATCATTGAACACAGCTGTTTGTAGTCTCTCGATTTGAATGTCCACTTTTTATTCTTTGCTACTGTGATTTGAGCAACTATTTCTAAGATGATAATATATAATCTTTTAACAGGTGATTTCTTACTTTTTTTTTTTTTTTTGTAGTTCTGTATTACCTGTACCCTTACACCGCTTTGTTTTGTTTTGTGTTTTTCTCTTTTTCCTCTTAAATAAAATTTAAAAAAAAAGATTTAATTGCATTTTCAGTTTTGTTAATTGAAATTGGGTTATTCAGTAATTTTACATCTTATTGACCCAGCTTTGATACTAGGAATCTGTTCATTTCTTCTGTGTCATCAAGCCTTTGAGAGCAGAGGTTTTCAAAATACATATTGATGATCTTCTGTATTTCAACAGGGTCTGTAGTGATTTTACCCTTTTCATTCTTTATTGCATGAATTTGAGTTCTTCTTTCCTTTTTAAAATAAGGTTGGCTAAAGGCCTGTAAATTTTATTCATTCTTTTAAAGAATCAGCTCTTTGATTCATTGATTCTTTGTATTGTGTTTTTAGTCTCTATTGCATTGAATTCTGTTCTGACCTTTATAATTTCCTCACTTCATTTGGCTTTGTACTTGACTTGCTCTTCTTTTTCTAGATGTTTGAGGTGTAGCATCAGGTTGTTTATTTGTGTTTGTTCTGTCTTCCTGATGTGAGAGTTCACCGCAATAAATTTTCCTCTGAGGACTGTTCTCATTGTGTCGCACAGGTTCCAGTAAATTGTATTTGTATTTTCATTTGCCTGAAAATATTGTTTAATTTCTTCTTTAATTTCCTCTATGACCCACTGATTGCTCAGGAGTGTATTATTCAATTTCCATGTGTGTGTGGTGTCTTTGCATTTCTTTTGTCATTAATTTCTAGTTTCATGGTACTATGATCTGATAACATGCATGGGATAATTTCAATTATTTTGCATCTACTTAAGTATGTTCTGTGGTCTAATATATGTTTTATTTTAGAGAATGTCCCATGTACTACTGAGAAGAACCCATATCCTGATGTTGTTGGGTGGACCAGTCTGTATACGTATACTAAGTCCATTTGTTTACAAGTGTGATTCAGTTCTGTTATTTCTTTGCTGATTTTCTGTCTGGTTGATCTGTTCCTTTGTGTCAATGGTGTGTTAAGGTCTCCTGTTATAATTGTGTTATTGCTTATTTGATTTTTCATTTCTGTTAATACTTGTTTTGTATAACTGGGTGCTACCAAATTTGGTGCATCTATTTTTTTTTTTCTTCCTTTTTATTGGTACTAGGGATCAAACTCATAACCGCCTGCTTGCAAGGCAGGTGCTTATGCCCCTGAGCTAAATCCCCAGCACTGGTGCCTATATATTTAAGATTGTTTTCTCTTCCTTTTGAAATTTTCCCCTCACTAGTATGTAGTGACCTTCTTTATCTCTATGCATAATTCTTGCTTTGCAGTTCACACTGTCTGCAAACAGAACAGCAACTCCTGCTTTTTTTTGGGGGGGGGGTCCTGTTGCATAAAGTATTGTTTTCCATCCTTTGACTTTCAGTCTATGAGTTTCCTTTTGGGTTAGATGGGTTTCCTGTATCCAGCATATGGTTGGGGTATTGTTTCTTGATCCATTCTGCCAGTCTGTTTCTTTTCATTGGTTAATTGAGGCCATTTACTTTAATGGTTATAACTAAATATATTAGTTTCCTTTGACATGTTATTTTCTGCTGCTGATTCTTTGTCTTTCCACTCTATTTAATTGTTTGCCTTGCTTAGTGGTTTTGTTCCTGTGTCTGTCTAGAATGTCTTTCAATATTACTACATGGCAATAATATGGAATGCTTCACAAATTTGTATGTCATCCATGCGCAGCACTGTGCTAATCTCTGTATCATTCCAATTTTAGTATATGTGTTGCCGAAGCAGGCACACAGAGATTTTTTTAATAGATGGTTAACAGAAACCTGACAGGGCTTCAGGTGATTATCATGGAGGCTTAAGGCAAGTAGCAAATATTATTATATATGGAAGAAAAGGAAACATCGCTGTCTAGTTAGGGAAAATTCAGCAAAAGTATTACTTGCTCTAATATGGAAAAAAAAAAGAAAATACAACTAAAAAATTGTTGGCCCTTAAGCACATCTTTAGGCAGAAAACAAAAGTATCCAGTCATTTTTTTAGTTGTATATTTTAACTTACAAATAAAGGGAAGTAAACTAAAAGGGGGAAATATTCAGATTTTAAGCATAAGTTAGAATGTAACAGAAGGATTCAACATTATTTGTTTTCGACTATAAAACCCCTCCTTTTCCACACAAGATATTCTCAGTTGAACATAAATTAAAAAGAGATTCAGGGTAAATATAAATTCCAGGGTGCTGACAGGAAAATGTGGCCTCTGGGCAGGTCACAGATATGGTCAGAGGTCTTGCTATAAAATCTTTCTTAAGGAATTTAGAAAGTTTTAAGTTGATGCCTTCTAGACTTCTTGCCATAGATTAAAAAAAAAAAAAAACTTTCTAAGGGTCTGAGTGTCATTTGATGTGCTCTGCAGATTGCCGCCTTTAAATAATATAATTTCTCAGGATCTTAATGGCGTTGTCAGATAGCAGCCTCATAGGGAACCAAAGTTGCGGAAGGCTAATTTTGTTTTTAAATTATAGATGTGACTTTTGTGTGATGGACTGTATTATAACTTCCTATATTTAAAAAATACACAGAATTAAAGGAATACTATCTTGGGATAAAATGTACAGAGGTAGAACAAAATGCAAGAAAATCCTTGTAACTCCAAATTTCTGCATATAGAGTTTATACTGAGAAAACTACTCAGAGGCAAACTTAATCAAAATTAGTAAGCTATTCAAATAGGTCTACATTTATGGAAAAGCAAAGCAACTCAGAACAGAAATGGAATCTCTGAAGGCAGAGAAAAGACCCACAGACTCAAATCCCAGATAATCTTAAATCAAGTCAAAGAATATAGATTCACTTAGATGTCAGAATTGGTACAGACTAGTGACTGTTTTTTCTCTTTCCTTTTTTTTTCCCCATGGGATCAAAAGCTGGTGTCATGAGTGTGTGAATTATGCAGTTGTTAGGAGTTCCATATGTACAAGGGTCATGGGCCAACTTAATTTCATGATGTTACCATTTTGAAATTCTTAATGCTATTTTAATGAGCTTCTATATATTAAACTTGTGCTGATTCTGCTATGATTTGAATGTGATCTTACCTCTCAGAAAACGTTCATTGAAATTTTTCCCATTCTTTGGTATTAAGAGAATGTAAAATTAATCCAACTATTCTGTTTAGCAATGGGGCCTTCGGGAGGTGATTAGCATTAAATTTCATCAAGATGGAGCCCTCCAAGTCAGTATTAGTGCCTTTATCAAATGACAGAAACAAGAACAAATAGACAAGCATGTTCTTTATTTCTGTGTTTCCTTGGAACTCTGCCAGCAAGAAGTCCATCGCCAGATAGGAACCCTTGACCATGGACCACAGTCATAAGCAAACATAAAACCTATTTATAAGAGTCATTATGTAGCGTTATATCATTAGCATCAAAAAATCAGCTAATTTGGTGTGTATATGTGATTGAGATGAGCAGATAACTGCTCTCTTATTTACTATCTTTTTTCTGAAGGAAGCTGGTTTCACAGGCATGGTTCCTCATCCACATCTCAGCTGATGATGAGATCTTGGGTGCTGAATCCAAATGGAATGTTTTCATTCCATTTGGATAATTATGTGGCACCCCATAGGTAGAGATCAACACATCTCATAGGATGAAAAAATGTAAATGATTTGCTGCCAGGGACCAGACTGTTAGAGCTTTAAAAATTTTTTCTGACTTCTATCAAAAGACAGGTTTCTAGGTGTGATTGAAAAATATAGTGAATGTTTACACTTTAAAAAATTACAGTAAAACATTCACTGTCATTAATCTCCTCAAAATTCTCATGAATCTCACCCCTTGCCTTGAACACAGTTGTGGCAACATGGCTATTGCTACTTTCTGAAGCAGTTCTGCAAGTCTTCTTTTGTGAGTGTCTTTCGTTGTCCTGACATTTTGAATAGATTTTAAATCAGTATTTTTCATAATCATTTGGATGTGGGGAAGAGCCGGATGCTGTATGGTGTTAAACCTGATGAACAGGTGAGGAAGGGAACATTGATGTTTTACAAGTGTGGTTTTCCATGCTTGGCAGCACTGTTCACTTTTTAAAAATCACATCTCATAAAGAGGCTCATAAAAAAAACTTCCAGAACTGTTTCAGAAAGTCGCAAGAGGAATGAGATGAGTTCATTCAAAGTAAGTGGGAGTATTTTGTCAGGGATTAATGTCAATGTGTCTTTTACTATAATCATTTTGTTACTCTAAATATTCACAATATAATTTGGTCATCCTTCGTTCATGACCACATGGTTACAGTTAAGAGTGACAGAAGTGACAACATGTAACTTTCTAGGGAAAGTCATAAAGTGCAAGAGGCCTCTTTACGGAACTCTTAGGATTGTCTTTCTTAGGTGACTCACTATGGAGATTTCCATCTCAGTTCCCAGAAGACATTCTGTGAGAAATTCAGTCCAAGTATAGATACTCTTGTCACAACTGAGTCCAATCTTCAAGTGAATCCAAATTAGGTGCAAATGAAAAAAAAATTCTTCAGATAATTCTTGTCCTCGGTAACAGTATAATTCAATGGTATTTATTGCTTGTTTGTTTGTTTGTTTGTTTTCGTGGGACTAGAAACTGAGCCTCTAGCCATGTGCAAGCTTTCAGCCACTAAATTCCCTGTCCCAAAGATAGCTACTTAATGACACCACCTTCTTAGGGGTTTGTTAACATGTTGTGACTAACTGGAATATCTTCGTTCTTGTACCCACGTAGGCCCAGTTAGATAATTCTCCTCTATGATTTCACACTGCACTTTGCAATCAGTACCTTATATTCGGCACATTGCTGCAATTTATGTGCTTATATCTGCCTTTCTATTAGTGAAGCGTAGTGCATTTCTCCACGGTTTACTCCAGTGCCATGCATGTGGTAGTAGTTCCAGTACTGTTGGAGAAAATATTCAAGGATATATCAAATATATTTTGTCCCTTTACGACCATTCAAATTTGAGCTCTTCTTTGCAATGGAGTGAATGTTTATGTACTCTAGAATTTATTTATTGAAACCTTAACCCCAAGAAGATGATATTACAAGGTGGAGTCTTTGGTACATGATTAGCTGTGCCCTCAAGAGTAGAATTATATCTCTTATAAAAACAACCTTAAAAGGCTCCTCAATCCTTATACATGGGAGGACCCAAAGTGAAGACACCATCTTCGAGGTAGGGGGCTCTCATCAGATACTGAGTCTTTGGGTGCAAAGACCTTGGACTGCTAAGCCTCCAAAACCATAAGAAATATATCTCTATTGTTTATAAAACATGAAATCCATGGGATTTTCTTATAATGGCCTGAAAAGACCAAAATATTGCTCTCACATGAATTAAAAGAAAATCTTTGAGTCTAGGAAGTTGTGTATCTAAGTACTGGGTTTTCATGATTCTATTCTGATCACTCCTATATTAACAAGATTTAAAATTTTCCCATATAGTTCATTGATCTGTGGTGTCCTAAGACAAATCTGGGTTACAAGTTTACAAATGATGATAAACAATACAAGGATATTTCTGGACTTCTTGTCCATTGTCCAAATGATAAGGACACTTGGTACCCTATTTCCAACCATCAATCAGGACTCCTAAAGACTTTATCTTTCAGGATAAGATTCTTTACCATAATGCATAGCACCATGGTTAAAAGACTGGGTTTTTGAGTCAGACAGTGCATGGCTACAATTCAGCATCTGCTCCTTATTAGGTTTTGACTTTGAAAAAAGTGCATGAAAACACACTGAGTCTCATTCCCTCACTAAAAATAGTTTCCAATTCATTGAGTTGTGGTCAGAAACTAAATGTGATAATGTATATAAAAAAAGTAATTAGCACAGAGTAAATATTAAACCAAAAGTAGCTGTTTCCCTTTCCAAGCTGGTCATCAGTGGTTCAGCATGATCTTTACTACAGGCTGTTACTGATTCTCTAAACCTCAGTTACTGCTTTTTTCCCCCTATTTTTAAAATACGATCTCTTTTTCTGAATCCCCTTTTTCTTCCTGAGCTGTTTGGCTTCTTTTAATTGTTTCTCTTTTTGCTGATAATCACATATCTACTCGTACTCCTTTTAGAACTGTGATTTGAATTTGTGTTTACCATTCTTCCCCCAGGCTTTCCAAGCTCCTGCAGTCAGTTACCTGGTGCTCAAACTCCAGGATGGGAGAGTTTTTCTTTATCCATGACATTCTCTTTTCATACTGTCCATGCCCTTAGTCACCTGCCTGAGGTGATTCTGGATTGTTACCCACACTGTAGTCTCCATTTTCAAGTGTTAGGCTGAATCTTCTTCATTTGCTTTAAAGAAATGGACCTTGATCATTTGGGTCTGAGAACAATGTAATTATGTAAGTTCTAAGTAGGATCTGGAGGATCCCCAGTCTCAGACCAGGTTTGATTCCAGGAAAAGTGAAAGGGGAATATAGAAGAGAACAGCTTATCCTATGTTTGTTACACAGTAGTGGGTCAAGTAAGATTGTGGGAGGAGGAGATGAAGGGGATTACCCAAAAGGTGAAATGCAAAATGTTTCTACAGAGGGCATGAAGTCACAAAAGGGACAAAATTTACTCCAAAGTTATGGGGAAGTGACACTTCCATTGGTATAAAAGGGAATTGAAGAAAGGATAATCCATTGACTAATGATTCCTTGGGAAGGGTATAATTTGGAGTCACGACAGATGACCTGTAACAGGATATTAGTATGCAGTTGGAAATGAATGGTACTATGTGATGAATTAGGCATCTGTTAAAGTCTTGGC